AAAATGCAGTACCTCTGGGTACATTTAGGCTGGGAGAAAGCATTCATTTTCAAGGATTTGAAAGAATTGTTCCTATACATAAAGTCCATTTATCTTACACATCAAATTTCAGTAGCCATCTGGGTCACCCAATTACCATTGAAGCAAAAGACATGGCAGTGGGTAGTAGGTGCACAGGGTTTGTAGTTAAAAAAAAAAAAAAGATAACAATTGATTATATTTGCTTCCAAGCTTTATGAAATTTAGCAAGTATAGTTATTTTTTTTCCCCTTTCATGAACCAAAGGGTGTTTAGGTGATGCTGTATTCTAAACATTGTTTTAAATTTTTATTATTAAAAAAAAATGTGCATTACTCCTGAGTTATAAAAGAAGGATGTAGAGACTACAAAACCACAGTAGAAAAAGACTGAAAAAGAAGAAAAATGAGAAAAAAAATGGTCAGATGGGGGAAAACATGCTCTCAAAATGGAACTCTGCTAAGAGACACAGATGCAGTACCTTGAACCTCAGGAGAGCTTTAATTAGTCTGGTTCTTCCTCCAGCGCATGCTCAGATGCTCTGCTGCAGACTGTAAATTAGGGCATGGAAATCCAGCAGGGGCCTGGGTGGGTTAAGGGGGAAGGGCAGGATCTTAAAGGGGCAATAGCTATTTAAAAGAGCAATGCCTTTTGGCCCCACCATTCCTGTCAAAGGCCCCTCCACCTTCCACCACAAACCTACTCCACTGTTGTGTTACTTATCTCAATTAATAATACCTCTACTGTTTCTGTTTGGCAACCATGACCAAAAATGGGAGTCCTTGCTGATTTCTTCCTAATCTCTAGTTGCAAAATGCAATCACTAGCAACTTTTGCAGATTTTACTTTTTAAGTATGACTTGACTTCTCCATTCCTATAGCCATTCTTCTGGCTTAAATTCTCATTGGGTCTTGCCGAGGCCCTTATAATAGTCTCTCAACAGGTGTTAGATGCATTTTCCATTTCCACTGCTGCCAACTTGTCTTATTTAAATCACGTCACTCCAACTTAGAACAATACCTCAGTGATTCCCCATTGGCTGCAGGACAGTGTCCAGCTTCTTAGCACTGCATATCTGTCCTCTGTCAACCCTGAGGCCCCATTTCAGATACTCCCCAGATTATACTTTCTGTCCTCACCATATGCATCTGGTATATATATGTCTGAGTATGAGTGAATAAAAATTGATTTTTTAGTTCACTTAAAATATACACAAAATTTTAAGGAGTAATGAAAGAATCTAACTTCAAATTAAACAATGTATTAACTATGTGTCATGTAAAATATTAATTTTAACAACTGATTTTTTCACTTGATGAACACATCATGATGTAAGGGGGAAAAATTTTTAAAGTTAAAAAAAAACATGACTCTTTTTCCAAAGCATAATGAACTCAAGTAAAGGATTTTATTCAGTTCAATAATTGATGAGGGAACTAATAGAGTAAAGCTGATTCTAAGAGCATTTCAGAAAATGGTTATTTACAGGAAAAAAAAAATGTTAGATTGCTAGATTACATACTCAATAAGTTAATGCCCACCGGACAATGAAATGATAGATTATCTTTCCCATTGAATGTAAAAAACAATCTGCAAGTTGACCTGTCACTTCTGTGTCTGGGCTCTTCATGCACCCTTCTTGCTTTCCTATTATTTCTAAGTTAAGAAGAATCTTTCTTAACAATGGAAGTAACGGAAGTTTTCTTCCTAATCAAACAACTTCCTATAGATCTTCCATGTAGGTACGTTCAGCATCATTATAGTCGCTTCTTAACTAACAGAGTTTTCCAAAACAAAACACATTTATGTCTTTCTTAGTTTTTCTCAGTTTTTCTTTTAGTAGTTAAGTGAACCCAGGTCACTTAACCCCTGAGCCAAGTCCCCTGTCTTTTTATTTTTTATTTTGAAACAGGGTCTTGTCTACGGCCATACCACCCTGAACGCGCACGATCTCGTCTGAAACAGGGTCTTGCTAAATTGCTTAGGGCCTGGTGATCCTCCTGCCTTGGCCTCTAGAACCTCTGGGATTACAGGCATGCACCTGTAATAAGAGAGAGTTATTAAATAACAATCAGCCTTGTGGAAAAGTGTATGGTTATGTGGACATCAAAAATGTAGGAATAGGGGCTGGGGATGTGGCTCAAGTGGTAAACGGCTCGCCTGGCATGCACGGGGCGCTGGGTTCAATCCTCAGCACCATATAAAATAAAAAATAAAGATGTTGTGTCCACTGAAAACTGAAAAATAAATATTAAAAAAATTCTCTCTCTTTTCTCTCTCTATATTTTTTTAAAATGTAGGAATAATAATAATAATAATAATAATAATAATAATAATAATAATAGAGCTCTCCAAAATAGTAAAAGAGAAGGCAGTATAAAAATAGTTCTAACAACCCAACAGATGGACAGAAAGTTAAAAGAAAGAAGGTGGCAAACAGAAAACACAAAACGAGAGGATGAAAATCATTTCAATGATATCACTCCCAATAAATATAAATGAATTTAACTCTCTTATTAAAAGATGGAGACTAGCAAACTGGATGGGAAGAAGAAGACCTCTTTCCATAAAGATGCCTAAAGCAGAATAAAACCAAAAGGATGAATGTAGAATGATGAAACAAGAATCAAAGGTGACAAGGAAAACACGAATAACAACAAAAACAAGGGGATGCAGCAARGCTAATATCAGACAAGATAAAAATGAAGACAAAAAAGCATTAAAAGAGAAAAGAGCTTTTCATCATGATAAAAAGAATGATTCAGTTAGTACTTTTATGAGCTTATAAAGAAAAAAAGATAAAGACGAAGAGTGATGATTGTGGAAGGTTTTGATACGTTTATTAAAAGCTGATATATCTATCTTACAATTCAGTAATAATACAGACAACTTTAATAAAATTAGCAAGCTTTGTCTATTAGATTATATAAAATTCTGCACCGAAGACATGGAAACCATATATTATTTTCAAGACATATAATAYATTTAAAAATGACGACATATTATTGTTTTAGCTTTCTTATGAGAACAATTTCCAGTATTTAATATTAGCTTTGTCCATAAAACATTTAAATGGATAAACACCAATCAAAAAGCTAAAAAAAAATAGTAATGACCTTTAACTGGAAACTATTTTTAAAACGCACTAACCATAGTTAATTAATTAATTTTTTGGTACTGGGAATTGAACTCAGGGTGTTTAACCACTGAGCCACCTCCCCATCCCTTTCAATATTTTATTCTGGGACTGGGTCTGGCTAGGTTGCTTAGGACCTCACCAAAGAGCTGGGGCTGGCTCTGAACTGGTGATTTTCCCGCCTCAGCCTCCTGGGCAGCTGGGATCATGGGCACCTGTGCCTGGCAGTTTATTGGTATTAACCAACAAATTACGGTCATGAAAGATTAAAACTATTTACACAAAAGTATCACTAACAAAACTAGTGAGACAAGTAGTTCTTAGAAGTGTATATCTTTCAATGGAATTATTCTTAAAAAAAGAATAGAAAGTAAATAAGCTTTCAAATCCCTTAGCTAGTGTAAGAGTTACAGAGTATCAAAAGGCAATGAAAAGAATTGACGGAATCCATGAACTATATTCTATTAGAATTATATTCATATATTTCTTTATAGAAAGAGAAACAACACAAAAGTTGGTTGTTTAAAAGAATTACAAAGTAGACAAACCTCTAGACAAGACTAATAAGGATGCGACAATAAAAATGAACAATATTAGGGGCTGGGGATGTGGCTCAAGCGGTAGCTGCGCTCGCCTGGCATGCGTGGGGCCCGGGTTCGATCCTCAGCACCACATACCAACAAAGATGTTGTGTCCGCCGAGAACTAAAATAAATAAATAAATAAATATTTTAAAAATTCTCTCCTCTCTCTCTCTCTCTCTCTCTCTCTCTAAAAAAAAAAAGAACAATATTAAGAATGAAAAACGGGACATAAATACAAAGAGAGCATGATTCTTACAAACCCTAAGAGAAAACTGTGAACAAGCCTATTTCAAAAGCAACAGAAAAACTAAACAAGCATTTATAGAAATAAATAAGTAAAAGTGGTATTTCCCTTTCCCTCTCCCAGCCCCCACTAAAGAGCATCCCTGCCCCCAGAACAAACTAAATCTATATGGTTCAGAGAGAGCAGCAAGGGCAGCAACCCATAAACTACAACAGACATAATAGTTAATGGATAATTTCTGAAGCATAACAAAGATGCTGGCAAGCCAAGGACAGTCCCAGGTCACCACTTCTATTCAATACTGTATCAGGGTCATTGTAGGGACAACAGAATATTATACAGTTGTTAAAAAGAACACTTTGGCTTGAGAGGGAGGCATCAGGGGACTAAGATGGGCCATCAGTGTCCCTCGGCCCTGCCCTGCCACGTCTTTCCCTACCTCTCCAGCCCCGCAGGCAACCTTTAAACACCTGGGTGCCCATCACTTGCCCTACAGACTATTCTTAGCTCTCCGTGTTGACTTTGCGCCTGCTGCATACTTATATAAGCGAGTGTATCTCAGGGCTCACGATCACTGGCTGACGTGTCTGGGCACTTCACCCAGGGCCAGCACAGAAGAGGGTGGGAATTCCACCCGGCCCCGCGCCCTCCCACCCGCGCGCTCCGCTGGTCAGTCCAGGCCCCCGACCGCGGCGGCCCGAGAACCGGGCGGCGGAGCGCGCACGATGCCGCCCCTCCCGGTGTTTCTCCATCCCAAAGGGCGCCTCCCGCCGCACCCACTTCCTCTTTCCTCTCGCTGGAGCCGACGCACGCAGCGGTCGCTCTCAAAAAATTGTTTCTGACAGGAAGCCCGGAGGCCCGCGGGGAGGGCCGCCAGCCAGCCCCGCATCCCCAGCGCGCGGCGGGGTCCCAGCCCCCGGTGCGCCCCTTGGCCCCCGAAACCGGCCTCCGCGCGCCGCTCCCCGCCGCCTCCGCGGCTCCCCGGGCTCGCGCGGCGCCGGCTCCGGGGCGCGGGGCCATGGAGGTGGAGGAGGCGTTCCAGGCGGTGGGGGAGATGGGCATCTACCAGATGTACTTGTGCTTCCTGCTGGCCGTGCTGCTGCAGGTGAGTCCGCAGCCCCCACCTCTCCTCGAGGCCGGCCCCGAGGCCCGCGCCCCGCGTCCGCTCCCGGCCCCGCCCGGCCCAGGCCCGCGTTCTGCTCCCCGCCGGGGTGGAGCGCGCGCTGGGGCGGGGCAGGGCGCGGTGGCCTGGGTCCCGCGACGCCGCGGTCGCCTGCCGGCCGCAGAGCCTCGCTGGCTCGACTCCGGCTCCCACCCCGCCACCTGGGGCGGTGGCTGGAGGGTTTAGGGGAGGCACTTGAAGCCCCCAGGCGCTGGTTAGTGAGGGAAGCCAAATACCAATACCTTCTGAAACAGGCTGCAAAAATGAAAGGGAAATGTTACTGTAACCTGTGGCGCTGTCCCCTTGGCATCTAGGACACAGAGAAGGCTCTGATGACAAACACACTAAAGGCTGGATCTAGGGTGGCCTCCTTCAGCTCCGGGCATCTACTGACCAGCCTTTTCTGGGTTTCAGGGGGTCTTCCTGTTGCAGGGGCTTGCATGCATAGGGTTTATTTCTAAGTTCTGCTGGATCATTCAGCCCTCAGGCCAGCCTTGGGTTGAGAATTTTATAAGCCAAATACTGCCATCTGCAATATGTGGTTACCAGATGGAATCCCTTCTTTATTGTATAGAATTCTCAGAACCTGCTTGCACATCCCAGCTTAAAAAATGTGGGTTCCATATGCTTAAAAGATCACTACACATTAGCTTCCAGGCAGGCATTTACTCCTCTCTCGCCAACTTAAAGGGCCCATTTGACGTCAGTTGCTTCTTCCAATATTCTAAAGGCATTTCATTCAGATTCCTCTCTTAGTACCTACTAGAGCCAGCCACTTACTTACTCATTCTTGCAGTCAGAACATTGAACCGTGCGCCTTGCAGGTTCTAAGCACAGGAACACAATGCTGAACAAATCAAGGCCCCTGCCTGCAGGAGGCTGGCTTTCCAGGGGTGGTGGGGTGTGGCAGGCTGACAGTTAAAAAGCAACTAGTTAACACGTGTTGGTAGTTATTCTGCAGGAAGTACAGGCTGATCATGGGCATAACCTCTGGTCCACCAGTTGCTTAAGACTCACCTAAGGCGGTGGCGCAACAGGAATATGGGAGGAGGTAAAAGTTGACTTTTCATCCTCTTTTTCCATTAAAATGTTCAAAAGTTCAGTTGATTTCAACACCAGCAGGGGGGAAAAAATGGTTCCAATGATGGACTGAGTGGTGGAGACAGTTCTTTCTTGTAGTAGAACAAGTTTTCAGCTCCCAAATACATGGCATTCAGAAGTTCTTTTAAACTTGTTTTAGGTTTTAATACACTTTTTCTGTGGAAGAAATATTTTTATGCTGAATCATGAGAGTAATTAATACAGAGAAAATAAAATCACAACCATGATATCTGATCTTAGTTTACAAAAAAAAAAAATTTTTTTTTTTGAGAATATTCTTGTTCTAACCAAGAATTCCGGGAACATATTCCTTCTCTGAGCAATCCCACCTCCCTATCCCTACCTTCCACTTTCCTGTGTTATCCTCTTCTTACCAAGCTAGCCAGGTATCCACTGACTGAGAATAAGCTAGTCTTGAGTGGTATTGTACTGAAAAGGCGAGGATTCTGGGTCAGGACTTGTTGAGTTTCTCTTATTTACTTTTATTTATGGTTGACCTACTTTGTTGAAGTTTGCTACCAAAAAGTTCCAAGCCCGTGGCCATGATGGTTCACTAACCCTTGGCTGACATATGATCCGTGTTTGCCACACAGGGATCAGGTCCTGGAGTGTTGTTGGCAATAAGTGACTGTTGATCTTGTAGGTGTGGGCTGGGCGGGCACCTGGGGCGGGCACCTGGGACGGACACCTGTGCCACTGGAGGAGTTCAGGCCGGAGCGAATCCTTCACAGTCCCCACATGATTGTGAGGACTTAACTTCCTCGTTGATGTGCATGATCCAAGTGGCCATAGGTCCACAGAAAACAGTCCTGGATATGAGAAGGGATTTCCCCAAACACCTCTCTACTGAGACTGTGGCTGGAGATTTTTGGGGATAGAGGAGTTGGCCTGTAAAGTGGGAGTGCTAGGAGACCTATGACACAGTTGTATCATGGATGAATTCATCTTTCTGGTGGGGGATGGGGAAATGTTCCCCCACAGAGGAAAAGTAAGAAACCCTTTTCACAGAATTGCCTTAAATGGAAGGAAATTGATGTTTGTCTGTTTTTAACACCAAAAGACTTTTCTTACCATGGAGCAGGGAAGGTGCAGATCTGCGGAACAGAAGCTCTGATAGAGCAGGGGAGCATCACGACAGCCAGGGCGCACAACACTAGGGGGACAGAGATGGACGCTTGATGGCCCTTTTACGTTTTCATCCTTGGGGAGCATTGTTTTTATTTTTAAATTTTTTTTAAACTCCCTTTGCTTCAAATACATCAAGTTCAGACTAAGAGAGCAAAACCATATCCCACAGCAACTCTGAAGGTCCTAGGCGAACGGCTTTCTTGAATTACCAAGAGCATGGTGTATATTATCAAAAGCAGCCACACTCTCCAGTTTCCTTGGCTAAGAGACTTCCCTTCACCCGCCTTGCAAACACAATCTTGAATCTCTGTAGTGGTCAGCTCTCAGACACATAAAGAATAGATGAAGATTTTGTCGATTTCTCTTTGGCACGATTAGATGCGGATGCCTTCATGACACACGTACCTGGTTTGAAAGTACATGAAGAAATACGAAAAAGATTGCCTTATATAAAAGTAGTCGACTTATGAATAAGCAATAAGATTTACAATTTTAACAGAAAAATTCTTACTATCAAAATATACACTTGCCTTCCCTAGGGGAAGAGTTATTTTTGGTATTCAAATATGAATAATTCTGTTTAGTTTATGCTGTTCTCTTCTCCAAGGTGTGTTAGAGCTGTTGCCATCATCACCGTGCGGTATTTGCGTTTGTGTGTGCGCATTTGCCACGCTGTCTGGAGGAGGCAGGAGGCAGTAAAATTCTTGTTTTTTTTTTTTCCTTATCTTACACATAAAACAAAAATGGATCCTGCTTTCTTTGTTCTAAGCCAGAGGCTCCAGCCCCTTCATTTTCCTTAGGATCATGAATCTTAGGTTGTAGTATAATCTGCACAAAATTGGAACTGTTCATTGACAAACAGGAACATGTACTCTGTAACATGCCTTAGTTTCAACAGCCAAATTGTGATGCRGGGCTGTGAACCTTGTCTTGAGATACGGTATTCTGATGGGCATGAATGCATTGATTTTTATGTAAACCCTTAAAACTCTCAACCTTATTTTTCAAACCCTAGCACTACCAAGGCATTAATGGTGCTGTGCAATAAATATACTTTTTATGGCATTTTAGGAAGTGAAATGAGTGAGTCGGTATTTTTCAGGAGAGGAACCTATCCTAGTCAACACACGAAAAGATGTTTACCTTCAGTGGTCATCCAGGACGGGTGTATTGAATGACTGTGACATACCATTTCACACTTCTTATATTAGCAAACACTAAAAAGTCCATCCGTGTGATGAAAATGAGCAGAAATAGGAACTACCTAGTTTAGAGAACAATATGGCACCATCTAGTAAAATTAAAACCCGGTGTTTGCACCAGGGGCATGCCAGTAGTGTATCTTGAACATGCATATAAGAGTTTATTACTGCATTGTTTTTATTTTTATTTTTTTGCCATGATGGGGATTGAACCCAAGGCTTCACATATTACCACTGAGTGACACCCACTGCCCAGGATTTCTTTTTTTCAATTGAGGTGAAATTCATATAACTTAAAATGAACCATTTAAGAAAAACTGACCATCTTAAAGTTAACAATCCAGAGACTTCTAGTGCTTTCACCGTGTTGTAAAACTATTACCTCTACCTAACACAATATGTGACCACTCTAAAAGAGACTCCTCAACTCATCGGACTGTTAGTCCCCATTTCTCCTCCCCCAGCCCCTTGCAACCACAAATGTGCTCTTTTGTCTCTATGGACTTATCGATGTCGCCTATTTAATATTAATGGAATCATACAGTGTATGACCTTTTTTAACCTGGCTTCTCCTGCCAGGTTCATTCACATTACAGCACATACYAGTATTTCATTCCTTTTTATGGTCAAATAATATTCTTATATCTACGTGTACCACAGTTGTTTATCCACTCATCCATTGGTGGACATCATTTTTTAATAACAAAACCCAAGAAATACTTTCAAAGAGATGTTAAGGTGTGATATATATTTGTTAGACCACAGCAACTAAAATGAAATAACTAGATCTTTATGTAACTCTACAGATGGACCTCTAAAACAATGTTAAGTGCAAAAAAAGGCAGAGATAAGTACAATATAAATTTTAATGTTATTAATATATCAGATATTCTTAACATAAAATTTAAAGCACATGAAACCATATTATATATGGCTTATGAATGTATAGAGACCATTTAGACCAAGTCATGTGATTGGTTGCCTCTTGGGAAGGAAAAGAAGGGGTGGAATTTGGGTGCGGTATAAAGGAAGATTTCATCTGTATTTGTAATACTGCATTTAAAAAAAAAATCTGAAGGATATTTGATGAAGTTTTATCCTTTGTTTGTTGTCATGGTGGGTTTGTGAGTCTTGTTTTGTTCAATTTGCTATGTAAAGATAAGAAATTATATAGAAGTGGGAGAGAATGCTCCAGTTTTCTGGGTGAGTATAGTGTTTATTCTTTTGTGTTGCTATCCCTTAAGTCTTTTTCTATAGTGAGTTGTCATTTAACACAGGAGGGTAGGATGGAGTGAGTTTTGTGCAAGGTGCTTTATTAAACTTTGTGTTGAACACAACTCACCTTCCCTTCCTTTGTCACTGTGTCCTTCCCTCCACAGGAGATTCCTAGGTAGACCACATTCTTGATGAGATATGACTGAGATGATAACTAGTTCTTCTAAATTCAGTGCCGTACCCCAGCGACCGAGTTCATGCCATAAACAAGTGAAGATCTTATATATGACAGTCATT